CCTTGGGATAGGTGAGAGGTAGAGAAGAAATGATGGTCTAAGGATGCTGGTATCGAAAAGACTGGTGTTGATGTATTTGATTTTAGTTGGATATTTGGGTAGTGCCAAAAGGCTTGGACTGGTAGTATGAAATGGTTAGGTAAGGGTTTGGGATCTAAATAATATTATATTATATTTATTTTTTTAATAAAAATAAGATTTTTTATAAAATTAATAAGTATAACATTATTTAGTATTTTATTTTTTATTTTTTTAAATAAAAAATTATAATTTTATATTATTAATTTTTCTATAGTTTGTTTTTTATTTATATTTTATTTTTTTATTATTTATTAAAAAATATTTTTAATGGGTTGTGGTGACCTAGTGAAGTGGTCAGATTGTCAACCTCCTAAGTAGTAAGTTGGGTGTTCAAACCCATTGATAGCAAAAAGTTGAATAATCACCTATGCAATATTTCTATTATAACAACTGTTACTAATGATTAGGTTAGAATATCTGTAATAGTAGTTGCACTAGTATGACTGACAGATCATGGGACATCTATGTAATGTTAGAGTTATACAGAGAAATGCAAACTGACAAATCAGGCAGTGCAAACACTAGATAAGTCTTTGTGGCCATGTAAATCTGTTGAAATTGGGTAACAAGAAGTTCATTTGGAAAGATCTGAGTAGAGAGATAGCTAAATCTATAATGGCCCTACTGTAAAGTCTAGCCTGGAGAAATAGATATTAAGGTCTAGTACCCAGTTGTAGTAGCTGGACAGGTAAGAACCTTCAGGTTCAGAGTTTTGGAGGTACCACCAACCAAACCACCAAAATAAACCAAATTAAAAATATTGTGCCAACCTGATATACCAATAGACTAATCATAGTCCTACACAAGCTATCTGAATTAGAAGTTTGGTAAAAAGACAGAAAAAAAGACAAAAATATACTAAAGTACTGGGATTATGCTGTGATGTAAATGCTGGGTCTAAGTGAACTCTACAAAGGCATAGTAGTTTAATAGTCAGCCCTGACAGCAAGTGTTAGTTCTGCTATAGCAATATTTAAATCAACTGTAAAAATAGATACAGAAGGCTCTAAGGTGTTTACTTCAAAGATAAATTAGTCCTAAAGTTGAGACGATAATCTGGGTATCTAGATATAACTTAGTAAGTTAATACAGATTATAGGTTCAGAGAGTTTAAAGTAAAACATTCAAGCAGAGATGTTAAGTACAGCAATTGGTAAGAAACCTTTAGGCAGACTCCTTAAATAGGTAATATAAAAAAGTTATACATATAGCCAATTGTATGCTTTCTTGTAGTAGTTTATTGAACCACAATACTGATAAATGATTAATAAAAGTTAAAAGACCAAAGAGGTCACCTTAATACCAAAAAAATATATATATTTTTAATAATATTATAAATTAATTTTTAAATTTTTTTTTATAATTAGCATTTATAAATTTTGAATTGTAAATACTACTAAAATTATAATTTATAAAAAACTAAACAATTTTTTTAATTAGAATTAATAAAAATATTACTATATTAACTATTATTATTGTTTATTATTTAATTTTTTTTTTAAATATTAAGATAAGTGCTTTTGCTTATAATCTAGAATTTTATTGATAGTATATTTAGCTAATAGTTGCATTTTAACTACAGTGATTAAGCATAAAAAAAGTATATAACTAATCATTTATACAACTTTAGTTATTGTTTAATTTAAGTAGTCTGTCTATACTAGTTGTTATACCTAAAACCTAATTATGAGTTTTTTATTTAAACACTTTATTTTATATATCTACCTACTTATCAATATCTATTAATGATTCTAATTTATGCTAGTAAAAATATATCATAATTACTAAGTCTTTAAAGCAGTTCACTTATATGAAGAACCTTTAACCTTATATTAAATCTTTCAAAATCTTCTGTATTTTATTTGCAATAATGCTATAACTGAAACCAACACTTACAGATAGAGTATATCATTAAACTACTATTTCTTTGTAGAGTTTACCCCAACTCTAGTACTTACTTTATAACAAATTTTTACTACTTTGGTATTTAATTTAAATTTTATCAAACTTTCAGTTTAGAAAATTTAAAAAAAAAAATACAATTATACATCTAATTTACATGTTTTTTTAATATACAATCTTTTTCTTTAAAACAAATTTTGATAGCTTGGCTAGTTGCAGCAACCTCTTTTTAAAGACCATATCTTCATCTAGTTTTACAAGTTCTAACTCTACTATATAGATTAAATCTTTATAGTAGCACTATTGAAAGTTCAAACTACTTTTCTACTTAAATCTTTCAAATAAACTTCTATTTTTCTAGCTTCTATGATTTATACAACTATAAGAACTTATTACAGGTTCATACTGCTTAATACTAGTTTGTATTTCTTTTATATAAGATACAACCATTGCATGAATACTATGTAATTTTTCAATCATGCTGATATAATATAGTTAACAAGTATTTGATCTCAACTAATAGCAGAAGGCAGTTAACTATAATACAGAAAGAATTTTAAATTTTTATTAATACTGCGATTTGAACTCTAGACCTACCATTTAGAGGTTGACAACATGACCATTTCATTGTAACATCAATCTCCTTGTTTTATTATTCTTTAATATTCAGTTAATATGTATATTATAATAATTATTATTTATTAAAATTTATAATCTTCAAATATTTATTTTTTCTTATATTTAAAAGTTTGTATTATTAATATAATATATATTTATATTTGCTAAAAAATTAATTATTGCATTGGTTGTATTTGCAAAACTAAGACAAAGAACTAGATCTTGCATGGCATTAATAATAAATTTATTAAATAAACTATAATGTATATATATAACAAAAACAAAACAATTGTAATAAAATCTTAAAACATAATTTTGATTTTTTTAAGAAAAATTTGTTGACAATATAATTTTATAAAAAAAATTATTAAATAGATATTTTTCTTCTATATAAACTTAAAATTTTTAAAAAATATTAAGTATTAACAATTTTTACATTATTTTATTTTACAATAAAAGATCTGTTATAGTTTAATTGTATTTAAAAAAGATATTATCTTTTAAATATCTTTTTGAAAATCAACTATTACATTTATATGGCCTTTTATATTTGAAAATTGTACATTAATTATTTGAACTTATTTTTTTAGTAAAGCTAAAAATTTAATAACGATTCCATTATAGAATTACTAACAGATCACATCACCAACTTAACATAAATTAGTAAAGTATTATTTTATCAAGTATTTTCTAAAATCCACTTAGTTACATTTTTTCTAAGCTGATTTAGAACTTTAATCTACATAATTATTGCATATTATCATTACTCAATGTTAAAATCAATTTCTTAATGAAAAATATTAAATTGAAAAGAATCACTAAATTATCTAAAATATTTGAAGCTTCTTCTGTAAATAGTCTTTTACTAATATTTAAACAATGATTCATTTTTTTTTCTATAAGAGAAAATCCTTTAAACTATATAAATTTAATTGAATAAAATTGTTCAATCATGAAAAAGTTCATGAGATCAAGAAAAATCAACAAAACGATGTACCTGACCAAAACTTATCCAGGTAAAAGGATCAAAGTCATTTCTAAAGAGTTAAGACATTATATTTACAGTAATTTAGTAAAGCAAAAAAACGCATAGTTTAAGAAATAGAAATACACAGCATTTAAGTTAAAAACTTATTCACTTGACATAATTAACAATTGAAAAAAAAAACATTTTTAGAATGTCAAAAGCAAAAGTCTGTAACATTGTATAGAGTTGTAAAGCATATGAAATATTGGTTTATCTAATTGAAAAGGCTTAATATTAATTAAAAAAATTATATACAGTCTCAACTTTTTCTATAATGAGCTGACTGTAAAAGAAAGTTTGATAAAGGTTATAAAAAAAAATTGTTATAAAAAATTACTATGCTTTATTAAAAATCCATGGCCGAACTGTTGTGAAATTTCAAGTTTTGAGTTCGTTGTATTCAGAGTTGACAATATATATAATATTTTTTTAATCGACAAAATCTTTGCGTTAATCGAAGTTTCTTAATTTTTTAAGTGATCATCCGGACCCAACATTTTCTAGGTGCGTTTATCGTGTGATCGTCAATCACTGGGTTAACTGTTCTTAAAGTGTTACTTAAAATTATTTTAAGTGAGCCAAACCAATTTAATAGAGGAAACGAGTTTAGGTCAAAATGATTAAATTTATAATCCTCTAAATATTAGTGTTAGTTAATACAAAGAATTTAAATAACTAATTTTTTTAAAAAGTATAAAGAAGTTTTAAAATATATATACATATTTTCAATTTATATTTGTGTAATTTAAATCATATAGATTAACAATATAATTTGTATCTTTAAAGCAATTAATCTAAGCGCAATATAAAGTGAGTATAAAATTTTAATTATAAGCGCAGTAAGTTTAATAATGCTTACCGACAGGAACTTCAACAGAGGCAATAGGTCGACTTGCCAAGGCTGTTAAAATGGCATATTTAGCTTAAAATATATAAAATAGTGTAAATTTATAAAGTAAACATGTACCTTTAATTGTATCTGATATTTTTTGTGTGTTTATAATTTTGCTAGTATACATAAATTCAGAATGTTTTGGTGAGACAATTGGTAATTCTTTTGTTATTTTATCAGCATCTAAGAATTGCATTTTAATTTCATTTGCATCGTCTGAACTTTCTATGGCTTTCTTCCAACTAACAATTCTATCAAAAACATTCAGAGCAGTAGGACGTTTTTGTGGATCAGCATCCATGCATTGTTTAGCCAATTCAATATAGCAATTCGGAGTTCCAGGTGCAAATTCTGGCCGCAATCCTTGACAAATTTTTATTGCAAGACTAATATTAAATTCATAACCATCAAAAGGTCTTTGTCCAGTTGACATTTCAGACATGATGACGCCGAGGCCATAAACATCTGCAGCTTTTGTAAACTTTTGACCTAATAAAATCTCAGGAGCGACATAAGGCATAACACCATAAATACCACCTTCTAAATCGTTTTCGTCGTAATTTTTAGACAATCCTAGATCTGAGATGTAGGATTGCATATTTTTACTAATGCCTTTATGTTGCAAAATATTACCACTGTGAAAGTCTGCATGAATATATCCTGCAGCATGAATGGTAATTAAATTGTTTGAAATATCTTTAAGTAGTTTTAATTTAGTTTCCCAGGTAAGATCACAGAAATTTTCTCTTAAAAACTTGCAAAGACTTCCATTATCCGCGTATTGAAATACCATCAAGTATTCATTTGTTTCTGTATTTTGTGTCAATCCATATATTTTAAGAATAATTTTCCCCTTAAATGTACATTTCATATGATTGTTAAACTGCACAAATATATATAATTAGTCCAATATACGTTTAATAAGCCACGCAACACATGAATAAGCTTACTTCTTTTAAAAAATCTTGAGGATTATCCTTAGAACCAGACAAGGTTTTAAGTGCAACTATGCTAGATGGTTCACGGTCTTTCTTATAGAAATAGTCGTTGTTACCGTCACCAACGTTAGTTTTCTTAATTTTTTCGACCTTTCGTGTGCCATCCAACCAGTTTGCAGAAAATACAGTGCCAAATCCTCCTTTACCTATTCCTTCTATATTAATTAATCTATCATATGGAATCCATTCAATCATATGTTCATAATCATGAGTTCGAAGTTGGAATGCTTTCATGCAATTGTCAATATCTTTATTTCCACTGGTCCACCCATGAATTGTTATATCTGGATCACACGTTTGACACCACGCTTTTTTCGTGTTATATTCATTACAATGTGCACATTTTCCGTTACTTGACTCTCTGTAGTTATCGATTGCGTTATATTAGTCATTTGCTTTATTCATGCTACTTTTAAATTTAGAATAATCTAGTTGTCGCCGGCGGCGACAATCACCGGATTGCAATTGACCAACCAGATCGTGCAATGGAATCAAAGCACACGCTAAAGTTAATTATCGTTAGGGTCAGGATTGGAATTGGTTAGGTTAGAACTTATCCTACAGTAAAATTTCGCAAGGATTTTTTTTAATTAAAACACAAAAGGTGGTTTCATAGACGAAATTTTGAGTAATAATGAATTTTTGAAAACTTTTAATGTTTTCTTCGTTTTCAGGTGGCACAAACTTTGCACCTGATACCGTTATGTGATTGGCCAATTGCAATCCGGTGACTGTCACCGCCGGCGAATATGCCCTAGGCGCGCCAACAAAACTAATAAAATTTTCACAATCACGTGTCGATCAACAAGAATTAGCCAATAATTAATCATGTATTTGTGTAACGTAACATGATCAGAAAATTCAAAACAATCGTTCGTTTTGACAAAATCTCTTGTTTCTCGAAAATTTGCATAAGAAACTACCGTCCGTGCCATAATAAAAAGTTTCCTTGAGCGATTTTGCTACTATAACCTCCTTTTCTAATCTTTACATGAAATCTAATTCTAACATAAACTTTAAAGAATTTTGAAGACTATCACGTGAGCGTGAATTTTTGTTGGCGCGACAGATAGATTCGTCTTAAAATCAAATGTAATAGATTTCGTCTCACCGACTAATAAATGAAAATGAAAATGAATAGTAAAGATTCATGAACTTGAATAGCTTATTATAAATACTTAAATTAATAAATATTTTTAAACTCACTCACTGCAATTTGTTGAATGTGATTAAAATTAAATAGTAAATATTCATAAACTTGGATAATTTATACTAAATACTTAGGTTAATAAAGTTCTTTATACTCACCTTACTGTAAATATGTTAAATGAAATCAATTCAAATAGTAAATATTCATAAATTTGAATATCTAACTTTAAATACTTAGATTAATAAATATTCGTTATACTTACTAACTGCAATATGTTAAATGAAATTAAAGAGTAAATATTCATGAGCTTAAATATCTTATTATAAATATTTAGATTAATAAGATGTTCTTCATACTTACGCTCTACGTTAGCATAGATAAAAATGAAATTAATAGTAAATGTTTATGAACTTGAATCTCTTATTTTAAATACTTAGATTAATAAATGTTCTTTATACTTACGAACTACATTAACATAAATAAAAATAGTAAACATTCATATCTTATTTTAAATGCTTATATTAATAAATATTCTTTATACTTACGAACTACGTTAGCATAAATAAAATGAAATTAAATAGTAAATATTTATAAACATGGATAAGGCGGCATCCACAATTTACGTTAAACCAGTATTGCCATAGGGATCTTAAAGATAATACAAACATAATATTATATAGCATTACCTTCAAGATCCCTATTTTTATACAATAACATTACTAGTTTTACGTAAATTGTAGATGCCGACTAAATTATTTGAAATACTTGGATTAAAGATTGTTCTTTATACTCACTAACTTGTTAAATGAAATTAAATAGTAAGCATTTATGAACTTAAATAGTTTATTTTTAAATACTTGGGTTAATAAATGATCTTTATACTTACTAGCTGAAATGAAATAAAATTATAAGCCTAATAGCTTATTATAAGCCTAATAGCTTATTTTAAATGCTTATATCAATAGATGTTCATTATACTTACTGACTGCAATATGTTAAATGAAATTAAATAGTAAATATTCATGAAATTGAATAGCTTATTTAAATACTTAGATTAATGTTCTTTATACATACTAACTACAATATGTTAAACGAAATTAAATAGTAAATATTCATGTACTTTAATATTTTATTTTAAATGTTTATATTAATAAATGTGCTTTATACTCACAAACTGCAGTATGTTAAATGAAATTAAATGGTAAATGCTTATGAACTTAATGGTCTATTTTAAATATTTAAGTAATAAAAGTCTTTTATACTTACGGACTGCAGTATGACAAATACAATAAAATAGTAAATATTTATAAACTTGAATAGCTTATTTTTAAACACTTAGATTAATAAATCTTCTTTATACTCACAAACTGCAATATGTAAATAGTAAATATTTATATGTTTAAAGAGCTTACTTTAAATACTTATATTAATAAATGTTCTTTATACTTACTAACTGCAATATTTTAAATAAAATTAAATAGTAAATATTTATAATCTTGAATATCTTATTTTAAATTTTTATAATAATAATATTTTTTATACTTACAAACTACATTAGCATAAATAAATGTAAAATCAGATAGTAAATATTCATAACTTATTTTAAATACTTAGATTAATAAATGTTCTCAAAACTTACTAACTGAAATGAAATTAAATAATAAGTGTTTATGAACTTAATAGCTTATTTTAAATACTTAGATTGTTCTTTATACTCACTGACTGCAATATGTTAATGAAATTAAATAATAAATATCCATGAATTTGAAAAATCTCATTTAATACTTGGATTTAAAAATGTTCGTTATACTTACTAACTAC